ATATCTGAACCGATTTTCACAACTTGAAAACTTGAAAAACTGCAACAAACGCATACTCCATAATTTTTATTTATTTGTTTAATTATATTGGATGAAAGCAACAAATGTCGGATATAGCATCAAATTTTAGAATAAGTTTAGATTTGTTTAAATTGGTCACCTTTTGCGCGAATTATGGTCTTCAAACGGCCAATGAAACCGTCACACACTCCACGAATGTTGCTCTGCGATATTTTGGCCCAATTCCGGCAAAGCCCTTGATTGAAGTGTTCGACACTTTGGCATGTTTTAGTGCCAAACGTGCCTTCCAAAATACTCAAGACACAATAGTCCAACGAATTGGTATCCCGAGATTTTGGTGGTCATTGTGCGCTGGAAATAAAGCAAGGAACCTTTAACCTTTGTAATCTTTCTCGGTGTGCTGAGCGCGATGGTACTGAGACCTATTGGAATGTCCAAGGTCTGCGGCCAAAATGTTTGCGTGCCCAAGGCCTCCAGAATATTTTCGGGATAATAGTCGGCATTTATTCTGATGCCAAGGTCGATTAATAGGAGCGGAGAGGGACCATCGGCTTTTATGGCGGCCCAAACCATCACCATGACCGGCGCTTGAGTTCTGGTGGCCAACCGAAGGTGCACATTTTCAGCTGACCTCTATGGCAAGCAAACACGATAATTTGATTTGTTTACAAACTGCTGGACAACAATTTTTTTTCATCGGAGAAAAACAAACTCGGCAGTTCACCACTTTCGGCTAAGCGAAGTAACTCCTTAGCTCTCTTCAATTTATTTCGTTTCTTGCAGTTGTCATAACTCACTCCATTTGGGCTGATATTAGTCAGTTGGTGCTCAATAAACCTGATATTGAATAAATATATATGGGAGCTTTATCCAAATCTAAGTCGATCTCGATAAAATTTGACAGAGGTATTTCTGGGCTTTATCTGATATCTGGTACAAATATCAATCACGTTGAGTGTGTATTGTGAGGACTTAAACACTAAATTGGATGAAACATATATATGGGAGCTTTGGCTATATCTGAACCCATTTTCACCAAAATTGTGTAAAGCTTAATTCCGTCGAAAGTGCCAAAATTCAGACCATTTGGGCTGATATTAGCCATTTGGTGCACAATAAACCTAATATAGGAAATATATATGGAAGCTATATCCGAATCTGAACCCATCTCGGTAAAAATTGGCATACTTACTTTCGAGCGGTATCTGATGCCTGGTACCCAATATCATTCATGTGGAGTGCATATTTCACATGTGAGGGACTTAAAACCCCAAATCGAATGAAACATATGTATGGGTGCTGTAGGTATATCTTAGATGAATTTCTCCAAATTTAATGAATTTTCTTTAAGACAAAATTCAGCTCATTTGGACTAATATTGGCCATTTTGTGCACTAAATTTGAGACGACTCTCACCAATTTCGATATGTATCGTCCTTGGGCCAATCAAATATTTTTTTTTGGAAATTTTCATCTCAATCTAATAATAAACGCAACCTGCATTTTGATCACAAAAATACATGGACAGATGGACGGACATATGACAAAGATATGATACCCTTTTTTCGTTGTGGTGTAGGGTATAAATAGTCGTTGAACCTATAAAGCATTTCTGGAGATAATTGCTCCTGACACTGATATTAAATTTGGCTACGTAGACTTATCATAGAAAGTCCGTTCCTACATATTCCCTTCCAGACTCTAAGTCCTCCAAAAAGACTCGGTTCGTCGGTAAGATATTGGTTCTAACATCGTCTCTATCTCCTCTCTAGACACCTTGGCCTTCACAGCGAATATAAAGTCAAATTGGCTTTCAGGCTATCGACAAATTAAGTGTAGACTTCAATTTTCTCTCAATTCGTCAATATAACCTTTTAGAACTTCTCCAAAAACGTCTCCTTGGCCCAGAAATTTTCACATTGTTGTCTTAGAACACCCCATTTTCCATAATGTATTCCATCGACATTTTTTCTCTTCACTACTAATTGAAGTGAACTAAATTGAATATTCTTTCATCTTCTACTTTTCTAATTTTGCCGAAAGCAATCATTCGACTTGCATCTTATGTTTATTGTAATCAAATAACTATGCCATCTATATCTCTCGACATAGTCCCATATTCATTTATGTGTGTGTGTGTGTGTGTCTAGATATGTGTGAGTTCATTCCAGATGATGTTTCCTTTCCAATTTGGCTTATGCCAACATTATCTCCCTTCCACCCCTACACATATACACACATACTACCTAAATGAAGCAGCCGTAATGTCATTTCCCACATATTGTTGTCAACAAATTTTCGAACGTGTTGTTACCATTATTACGTGTGATACGTGATGTTGATGACTTTCTTCTTGCCATGCCATTATGTGGTAAAGTAGGAATAGCAAAAAAATTCTACTCTTCAGAAAAAAAAACTTATCTGACTTCGTGTTTGTAACAGTTTTCTTTTTTTAGTTTTTTACATTGTTAAATTAGTTTGACCCTTTTATGTGTTTTGACAAATATTATATACTAGCTGGCCCGGTCCGCGTTGCCGGCCCGTAGTTTTTGTCTATTATGCATATATTCCCAAGCATAATTATTCACAGATATGACTGATATAAGTGTTCACGTACAGGTCGATTTAAAGTGTTTTAAAATACCTGTACCCATTTTTAACCAGTGGGCTTCAATATTTAAACCGTGGGCTTCAACTGTGTGGATGTGCTATACAAATCTATTAAAAAGTATATATCAATCTTATCGCCATATAAGGGATCAAATTAATTTTTAATATGGTAAAAATCGTAGCAAAATCTTCCAGTCAAATGAGCAGTAATTTGGAATTTGCTGTATTTTGTATACTACATAATTGAGGGCTGAATGATTTAAGAATAGCCAAAGTTAATTACTTTTTTAAACCCATTAGCAACTTAGATTGTGCATTAGAGTCCTCATAAGTCCCCCTAACCATGTCAGTCTGTTTGTCCGCCAAAAGGTGGACTTGAGAGGGTATTATAACATGGATAAAAATTCTAAAATTTGTAGATATGTTGAAATTTTAGTGTAAGATTTTCACACCCCTAATACGCATTATTAGCCAAATTCTTTGAAATGTGGTTAAATTAGGAGGTACCTTCTTTATATGGGCACTACTCCGAAACATCGACCTACATTGAAAACTTTCTTCTACCCCTTATAATCCAAGATGACAAATAGAGGCTAAATCAAAAATATAGCAGAACAATATAGCATGTCATAGCATTTCGCGTGATTTAAATAAGTAAAAATAGTTTTATCCACCTCATAATTGAGGGCAGAATGATATGATGGGAATTAATTTTATTTGCCATTTAAATTGTAAGTTGGAGACCCCTTAAAGTCCATATTTTCATCATAGGATAATTCAATGATGATTAAACAAATATTCGGTCCCGTGCTACTTTCTTATATTTGTAATTTGTTCATGTTTCCACAATTTATTTCATATGGATGCACATCCCAAATCTACGTTCCCGACCAATATTCTCTTGGGGGTTAAAAATTCAATAGAATACAAAATTTTCTTTTCTGACCACACATTAGATGTGAAAGTGGACTTGGGGATACTTCAATGTGGGGACTTTACTTAAATAAATTCCTATGTGGCAATTATCTGTATGATGGTTCCCTACCCCAGGGTGGCATAAATAAAATTTTTTAGCCAAATCAATTGATGAATGTGGTCAATACCAATATGGGCCCTACTCTGAAAATTTCAAATTTTATGCGAAGAGGTTATCTACCCCCTTAGAAACAAAAATGTCAAATAAGGGCCAAAAAATGAAAAAAGTGACCGGCCAAGACCCCAAAAATAACTTAAATCATAGATGGTTATATAAATATGAAATCGGGTTGTTCCCTTATCCATGAGTTATGATCGATATAAAGACCTGCAAAAGTGATTTTAGGTATTTTGAATGTTTGGGAAGAATTTCTGGAAGGATATAAAACCTTTTCTTACTAAAAGTCCCATTCGCTCTACTATTTTGCACCTTTTATTTCAATATTGGTATATTACTTATTATTCTCCCAAAGAATTTTGCATTTTGAGCTCTCATTGGACGGATCATTGTCACGCTTTGAAATGAGCCCCATTAAGCTTTTTCGGTCATTTTTGTTTGTTTAAACGTGTTCGCATCTTCCAGCTAACCCACGATGTAGGCCCTGGAGTTGAAATGTAGATGTCAGTTAACATCCTATTTCGCACTTATTCAATTTTTTTAGTGAAAAATTATTCTTTATTTTGTTCACAAAAAAAAATTGACGAAAAAAGAATAACAAATTGAAAAAGTCTTCAACTTTTTCGCTGATTTTTTACAGCAAATGTTTTAAGATCCTTCCTTACAAAGTTTGTCAATAGAATGTACTATTACTTTAAAATTCGATTCCATTGAAAATGTTTTTTTTTTTTTGATTTTTGCAATGAGATCTCTTTTTCATGATTTTTCAGCGATTTAGAAAAAGTAATTATCTTTTAACTTTGGTGTGACCGCGTTAAATTATTTCGATATCATCTATTCCGCTTCGCCACCACATAATTCGCTACTACACTTCCATGTAACCCGCCATCAATTTCAGTTCTCAAGAAATCAAGTCAATTAAATAAATTGGTATAAATATTCGAATTCAAAAATAAAATATAAAAAAACACTACAAATGTACATTAGAAAAAAGTAAGTCAAAATGGAAAAAAATCATGCAAAATAAAACATTACTATTGTACATTTGAAAAGTCAAAATGAAAATGTTAATATATCACATTTTTACGCGATTTTTTTTTGGATATTATCCTTTTCGGAGAGTAGACAACTCCGAATTTGTGTGAATCGTTAAAATTAATCCAGCGGTTCTTAAGTTATAAGCGTAGTAACTAACACAACTTACATTTATATATATATATAGATTCCCACATTTAGATTTTCAATTTTCTTTTATATTTTCATATCTTCTTTGCAGTTCCTCGTACCGAAATTCTGGGTGATCCCGATCGTTATGTCAAAGCTGGAAGCACTGTAATTTTGCGATGCATTGTTCGTGGCGCATTGGAGCCACCCACATTTATAATGTGGTATCATGGCTCGGAACAAATATCCGCTGAATCGAGACGACATAAAACACAAGTTGATCGACATTTGCCAGAAGTGGAGGGAGATGCTCACAGTACGGTAAGTAAAACTGGCAGGAACAAAATTAATATTTAAATAATAAATGAATTGAGCGAATACATTATGGCAACAATCATACGCACCAGGGTTCCAAATTAGAGATCAAAATGGGATTGGGATGGTAATATAAAACTGTCGAAGAAGGGAAGCTCAATGGACGGCCAAATGTTCTTGGTCTCTTTAAATAAGTTAGAAACTTGCTAGTATCCACAGGCAAGCTGGAGAGTAAGGGAGTATCCATAGACGAGCTAAAAGACAGGCAGTCTGAAAAACGATCTGAGTCTCTTTAGAGAAGCTGAATGCCAGGGAATGTCTATAGACGAACTGAAAGCCAAAAGAGGCTTTATAGAAGAGCTGTATGACGAGAGAGACTTCATAGACGAGCTGAGGGCCCCGACAGGGAATCTCTATATATGCGCTGAAGTCCAGGGAGTCTCTATAGACGAGCTGAAGGCCAGGGTGTCTCTGTAGACGAGCTGGAATGCCAGGGAGTCTCTATAGACGAGCTGGATGGCCAGGAAGTCTCTGTAGAGGAGCTGGATGTCCAGGGAGTCTCTATAGACGAGCTGGATGGCCAGGGAGTCTCTATAGACGAGCTGAAGGCCAGGGAGTCTCTATAGACGAGCTGGAATGCTAGGGAGTCTCTATACACGAGCTGGATGGCCAGGGAGTCTCTATAGACAGGCCTGGATGACCAGGGAGTCTCTATAGACGGTCTGGATGACCAGGGAGTCTCTATAGACGAGCTGGAGGGCCAGGGAGTCTCTATAGACGAGCTGGATGGCTAGGGAGTCTCTATAGACGAGCTGGATGACCAGGGAGTCTCTATAGACGAGCTGGATGGCCAGGGAGTCTCTATAGATGAACTGGAGGCTAGAATGACTACGGACGAGCTGGATTCTTCAGAATCTCTATAGACCACCTGGATGCCTGAGAGTCTCTATATAGACGACTGGGAAGCCTGAGAATCTCTATAGATGAACTGGAGGCCTGAGAACCTCTATGGACGAGCAGGATATAGACGAGCTGAAACGTCTTCATAGATGTGCTGAAGGTCCACCGAGTCTCAGCGAGCCCATTGAGTCCCTTCACCGACCAGTTGAAGGGTTAGATCGTCTTTATTGACAAGCTGATAATGGAGGTAATCGAGATGTCTTCATAGACGAGCCGATGAAAAGGTCATCAGGACGACTTCATGGACGAGCTGATGACATGGGGTCAGCAGAAATTCTTCATAGACGAGCTGGTGACATCGGGTCAGCAGGAAGTCTTCTTAGACGAGCTGGTGACATCGGGTCAGCAGGAAGTCTTCATAGACGAGCTGGTGACATCGGGTCAGCAGGAAGTCTTCATAGACGAGCTGGTGACATCAGGACGTTTTCATAGACGAGCTGGTGACATCAGGTCATCAGGACGTCTTCGTAGACGAGCTGGTGACATCAGGTCATCAGGACGTCTTCGTAGACGAGGTGGTGGCATCAGGTCATCAGGACGTTTTCATGGACGAGCTGGTGACATTAGGTCATCAGGACGTCTTCATAGACGAGCTGATGATTATGCACATCCGGACGTCTTCATAGTTGTCGATGATGATGATGCTGATCAGATCGTCTTCGTAATTGTGGATGATGATGTTGCTCATCAGGATGTCCTCATATATGAGCTGATGATGATGCTTGTCTTCATAGACTAAAGGAAGTTCCGGTCACCTTCATAAAAGCGGAAGGTCGTCAGATCACATATTGTTTTTTCATTTCGCTTATAACTTTATCTCCAAAGGTGTCTCCTGGTCCTTCGGCTCATAGATTAGAGATTCTACGGCGTCTCAGCTTCTCTACAAAAGACTCTATGCCATTATCTCGTCTCCTCCTCGTCTATTGACCCTCCATTTACGCCGATAAATTTCGATATTTTATTAAATCTTTCAAATAAACTGCAAACGACATCTGAGCAGAACAGTGACACTGACAGCAACACAATCTATTGCAAAATAGCAAATACCACAACAACAATAACAATAGCAACAGCTACACCCAAAAACGCAAACATAGTCAAATGACAACTTACAAATACAAACACTTTGACATTATCAACGACACCGCAACGACACAATTGTAACTGTCAGATATATCGCGCTAACACGGAAATGGATGAGAAAGACGAGAGGGCGGAGTGGTGTCACCATCAACTTCGGAATACGATCCATAGCAAAAATGTTAACTAGCGTCAATAAAAAACGAATCGGAAACATGACAGAAACAATTCACGAAAAATTGTTGTTCTGTGGAAAAGAGGGGAATGAGAATAGAAGAAGACGGGAGGAAGAACGAAAACGAGAAACACTTAAGTGAACGAGAATTGTGAATTCATGTGAAACCAGAGACAAATCAAAAAAATTGTACACGTCGAGGAAATTGTTTATATGGATAGTCAAACATTAAATCAATACACTTTTCATTTGGTGATGTGATGTTGGAGAGTACAGTGGGTGGGTGGCTGGCTAGGTGGTGCTTTGGTAAGTGGTCCAGGGTAACAAAACAAAAAACCGCAACAAATGCCGTTTTTTGTACTTGAGACGAAACTTAAAACAATTTTTCCTGTTGTATAGGAAATAAAGATACAAAGTATGTGATAAAATATTGAAAAACAAAAGTTTTTTTTATGCTCCCTCGAAAAATATGGAGAAGCTTGTTTGAAATATTTAGCGCAGTATAGGTTCAGAATCTCAATATATTTTTAGGAAAAATGTTTATCTCTTCTGAAAAGACGTTTAGATCAATGCTTTTCGGCCCACAGAGCATTTATGTAAATATGATTTTTGTAATGGCTTTGGTCTGAGTTAATCTCTGCTGATCCGAAATCTTACTACTCAGCTCGTTATTTCAAGGACCTTATCCAAAAGATGTGACTCAGTTTATTTGCAAGATTTTCTGTTTGAAGTTTAAATGAACTGGGAAATTAAGATACCCCTTAAATGCGTAACATATATATTTATAACAAGTAAACATTGGCTATAGTCATGTGGTGCCCATCATGTGATACCTACAGCATTTTGGAAGCCCCCTTATGTCCAAATTTCGTTTTTAAAATAATGTCATAGAGCCCTGCCAAGATGTTATCCTTAGATTTTTAATCGGAGGAATTTGCCATATATTAACGCACTATGTCGTGTTGTTAAGTATTCAAATCAATTTTATACGAAAATATTGGTCCATTTTACAGTTTAATAGAATCCAATGACCATCCAAAATGCCGGACTTCTTGCCTGTCCTTAACTCTCTTCTTATGCAAAATTCCATGCCGATTGGTTTTCAATTGCGACCTGTAGAGCGACTTCAAAATCAGTAAAATTTTTTATTTATTTTTTTGGTTCATTTGAACCCATAAATATACATCTTCAAAACCAGTGTGCTTTAGTTCTGGCTCTGACGTGTATAAAATATCCTCATCACATAGTGTTGCAAGGTGTAGAAAAACTTTAGGAATTGCAAATTTCATGATTGTAAGACAAAGTAAAAGAAATCGCTTGCGATAAAAAATAGCACAAAAATTTACAAAAAATATTAACTTCTTTATTTGCATATTCTTACGCGATTTTATCCTTCTCTGGCAAGGGACTATTCCGAATTAATGAGTATTGTGAAAATCAGTTTAGATGTTCTTGATTTATAAGCGGAAAAAGTAAGACCGTACAACATGGTTTTGCCACGCCTTGGTTCATAATTGTGGCCTGTTGAGCAACAAAAAAAAAAAAAAAAAAAAAAATTCAGAACAATTTTCTATTTTTAGTCCATTTTAACCTCTTACAAAATACGTCCTGTTTTTTAGTGCTTTTTCAGTTAAAATGTCCAAAAAATATGATATTATATCCATGATAAGAGTATTCTTCAAAAATCCACACCTATGGCTTTGATAGTAGTTGGAAAAATCCTCGTCTATGACCTTGATAGTAGTTGAAAAAATATTCTTAAAAAATCCATGCCTATGGTCTTGATAGTAGTAGGAAAAATCCACGTCTATGACCTTGATAGTAGTTGAAAGATTATTCTTAAAAAATCCAGACCTATGGCCTTGATAGTAGTAGGAAAAATCCACGTCTATGACCTTGATAGTAGTTGAAAAAAAAAATATTCTTAAAAAATCCACGCCTATGGCCTTGATGGTCCTTAAAAAAATATTCTTTAAAAGTCCGCGCCTATGGCCTTGATAGTTGTTGAAAAATATTCTTTAAAAATCCACGCCGATGGCCTTGATGGTCCTTAAAAAAATTGGTGTTGAAAAAATATTCTTTAAAAGTCCGCGCCTATGGTTTGATTGGGGTTGGAAAAATATTCTTTAAAAGTCCGCGCCTATGGTTTGATTGGGGTTGGAAAAATATTCTTTAAAAGTCCGCGCCTATGGTTTGATTGGGGTTGAAAAAATATTCTTTAAAAAATCCACGTCTATGGTCTTGATTGGGGTTGAAAAAATATTCTTTAAAAATCCACGCATATGGCCTTGAAGTTCCTTAAAATATTGTTATTTTAAAATCCACAGCCACAAAAAAAAATTGTTATAAAAAATCCACGACTATAACTTGGACAAAATATTTTATAAAAAATCCACGACTATAACTTGGACAAAATATTTTATAAAAAATCCACGACTATAGTTTGGATGATCCTTGATAGTAGTTGAAAAAAAAAAATATTCTTAAAAAATCCACGCCTATGGCCTTGATAGTAGTTGGAAAAATCCACGTCTATGACATTGATAGCAGTATTTATAAAAAATCCACGCCTATGCCCATGATAGTTGTTGAAAAAAATATTCTTTAAAAATTCACACTTATGGCCTTGATAGTTGTTGAAAAATATTCTTTAAAAATCCACGCCTATGGCCTTGATGGTCCTTAAAAAAATATTCTTTAAAAGTCCGCGCCTATGGCCTTGATAGTTGTTGAAAAATATTCTTTAAAAATCCACGCCTATGGCCTTGATGGTCCTTAAAAAAATTGGTGT